TCATTTCCTTATCCAGTTGAGTTCTGGATCTTTCATCTGTGTTCTCTTTGTATCCAACATATAAGTTTTTTTTTAAACTAATTATATATGTGTTCACTAAACTGTAATACAGTAGTTCGTGAACTTGTCCATCTCAGTCTCTAGGCTGTGAATTCTTAAAACAGGAACCTTGTCCTTTGTCTCTGAATCACTAAGGCTGAACACAATGCCTAGCAGTGAAAAGTCACCAAACATATTTTTGTTGAATAAGTATAAATGAATAACAAATAATTCATAGTTTATTTGTATAATGTTCAAAATTATACAAAAAATGTATAACATACATTTCAAAATATTTAATAACCAATTGCTAGAGACACCTGTTGGTCACACCAGAACTACTGTAACAACCAGTAACGCTGTACTCATTTCACCCACCCTGTATCAGCCCGGGCTATGGGTATCTTTGACTTTTTTATACCAAAAAGGAGAAAATACATATATTTTCATACCTACATGCAACCAGAGACTTTTTAGAAAAACATAGTGACATAAAGTGTTGGAAAGCACCTGGATGCATGTACACTGAAGCCAATACAGTTGTGTTCTTAAGCTATTTATATGTGATGATAAATGCTCTCTTATAAAGTTTACAGTGGTGTTAAAGTGCTGCCATGCCTTGTCCTAATTACGCAGCAGCATGTTTCACATTCCCCAGTGGGCTATTTTTTGTTGTTAAATAGCAGTAACTTAAGAGAGAATAATTTCCACAATTTAAGGACCTGTAGTAAATATTTATTGCCTTACTTCCATGTTTTGTAACAGTAAACAACTCTCCCGTCTCCCAACCAAAGCTTCCTTTGTCTTTTATATACACTACTGCAAAGGGTAGTGCAGGAGCTGATTGACAACCTGCTTCCATTCTTGTCCTCTAGCACCTCAAGCCAAGGCATCTGTTTCCACCAGAATGAACTTGCTAAAATGCAAATGTGATTATGGTACTCCCTACCAAAAACCATTCAACTTTTCTGTGTCATCTATAACAAACTTTTCAAGGTACTAAAAAATATCTGCTCGCTTGGTTTTTTTTTGTTGTTGTTGTTTTTGTTTTTAAAAAAGCTCATTTTTGGGCTTTGCAAATGGAGACTCCAATTCAATAGGGACAGGGTGGTAGAGTCGTACTTAGGCGCTCTTAAAATTTTTACAGGAGATTTTATGACACAGCCAGGCTGAGGAAAATTCATCCACAGGATGGAGTCCTAACACCATTACAGGGAAGAAGATTATTCAGAAACTGCCACCTGCCTGACAGTTATTAGCTGCAAGACTTTGGCTTAATTATGTAGTAATTTGAGCCTCACCTGCCTCAGTTTGAATGGGGATAATAGTACAAATGTTGCAGCACTATTCTAAGTATTATATATAGTATTAGGTTATCATCCAAACTGCACTATTTGATGCATCCAAATGCACTATTAATAATTACTGTCATCCCAAAGCACTGTTAATAATTACTCCAGGGTACTATGATAAACTTGGGCTGTCCCCGACAAACCAGGGCACTATAATTTGAGGAGATGTATTAAATGCATTTTGTGCAGTGGATATAACAGAAGCTCAACAAGCCATTTTCATTTTTATCATTCTTCACATTTTCTCCTCTACTCTGCTGGAAGCTGTAGCACAGAAAGGTCATGGCACAAGGCGCACAAATGTTGTTTGTGACATGCTCTAACCAAGATCCTGAGTGTTTGCCTATCACCACTTTTCTATACATATACTTGATACTTTCTCCCTTGATTTGTTTTGTTTTGTTTTATTTTTTATGTCTATAGATTTTTAGGGAACAGGTGGTGTTTGGTTACATGAACAAGTTTTTAGTGGTGATTTCTGAGATTTTGGTACACCCATCACCCGGGCAGTATACACTGTCCAATTTGTAGTCTTTATCCCTCAACCCCCTTCCACCCTTTCCCCCAAGTCCCCAAAGTCCACTGTATCATTCTATACCTTTATATCCTCATATCTTAGCTCCCACTTATGAGTGAGAACATACGATGTTTAGTTTTCCATTCCTGAGTTTCTTCAGTTAGAATAATGGTCTCCAATGCCATCCAGGTTGCTACAAATGCCATTATTTTGTTCCTTGTTTATGGCTGGATATCAGTCAATGGTGTGTGTGTGCATGTGTTTCATAATTTTTTTTATCTACTTGTTGATTGATGGGCATTTGGGGTGGCTCCATATGTTTGCAATTGCAAATTATGCTGCTGTAAACATGTGTGTGCAAGTATCTTTTCGTATAATGACTTCTTTTCCTTTGGGTAGATACCCAGCAGTCTCCCTTGATATTTTGTATAAGCCTTGATATTCCTTTCCTTTTTTTCCTCTACCACTTTAGCTCATCTCTTTTTAGGTCCCAGACAAGGAATGCAAAAGAGGCCCCCTTGCAATACATTTTTTAAAATTAAAAGCTACATATCAAACTAAAATACTGTTAAATATCTCCTACTTTGACAGATAAATCATGACATATACAAAATTAGACTTCCTGGAATCCTTGGAGTTGCACACAGGACATTGAGGAGGGCAGTGCCAATCCTGGGGGCCTACAAACAGCCCCTCTTCTACTCCTATCCCTGACGATCTCTGTGACAGGAGCATCACAATAAGGGTGTGATGTACATATTCTCAACCTGTACATATTCTAGCTCTGTTCATCTCCCACTTTTACCTTCCTTAGCACACAATTTGAAGGGTGTGTATCATATACCTGTTGCTACTGTAACAAATTACTATAACACCAATGGCTTGAAACCACAAATTTATTCCTTTTTAGTTTTGGAAATTAGTCTTACAGGACTAAAACCAAGATGTTGGCATTGCTGTTTCCTTCTAGAGACTCTAGGTGAGAATCCCTTTCTTTGCCTTTCCCAGCTTCTAAAGCTGCATTCTTGGATCATTGGCCCCTTCCTCCATCTCCAAAGCCAGCAGCATAGCATCTTCTCTCCTCTTTGACTTCCGTCTTGTTCTTGTAAAGACCCCAGTGATTACATAGAGCCTGTCTGGATAATCCAGAATAATCCCCTCATCTCAATTTTTAAAAACATAATCACATCTAGAGTTCCCTTTTGCCAAATTAGGTAGCATTTCCAGGTTTCAGATATTAGGACGTGGATATATGTGGGGGCCATCATTCTGCCTCCCAAAGGGTGTGCATACCAATGAACACTGGAGAGGATGAACCCAAGGAATAAGTGTGAGTGAGCACTGGAGCCACACTTGGAAACACTTGGGCAGGGATTCTGGTAATTGACGAGCTGTGGGGTCATGTGAGCATGTCCTCTTGGCCCTCAGGATTCTTTGCACTGCTCAGCCAGAGGAGGTCCTTCTAAGGCTGAGGACCCAGGGCAGGGTCCTTTCTTAGGGAGGGATCTCAGTACATCTCCTTTCTCCTGCTGATCTGGCAACCTCTGCCTGTTACCCGTTCTCTTGATCTACCTACAAGACTCTGTCAGAGGAAAGCATGTTAGCAAATTGTTTTACTCTATTAAAAGTTCTTTTTCTCTTATTTTCATTCCTGCCTTTTGCTTGTCATGAAAGAGCCCCATTCCACACCCACTCATTGTTTTTAACCATCCTCACTGGCTTTCCCTTCCTTTGAATCTCTAATTCTATCCTTCCGCCACCTCTTCAGTGTTCTTAAAATACACAAGATTTCACCTGCTTGCTGTTTTTTTTTTTAAATATGCTATCCAGCTAGCAAGTTATTCCTGAATCCTACAACATTGTTAATTCATTCCTCTTATATTTCTTTTTCAGTTCTAAATTTTCCTCCAGCATTTGAAGCCTGAAGATTTTCTTCTATAATCTAATTTAAAATCACTTTACTTGGTCTACTTGTATACTCTGTCTTTATATTTTGCTAGATGTTGGCTATTTAAAATAATGTTTCCATACTTATATAATGTATATAGAAGAATTTTTATTTCCAAAAAAGTATCTTTAAAGATGTTTTCTCCTAAGTTTAAAAAAAATCTCTGAACTTTGATCTGTGTTTTTACATATTCCCATTAATGCATGGAAAGTTTAAGGAATCATCTGTGATTAAGGTCTGACATGGTTTTGAGAGCTATGAATTATTTCACAAGAAGGTTTTGTAGGTTTTTTCCTTAATGATATATTATATATTCCTAAGGCTCTGATGAAAAGAAAATTTGTCCATTTCAATTTGATTTAAAAATTATATAATTGCAGTGATTTTAAAAATCTATGAGTCTAATAATGTTACATGACAATAGTGTGTGCTCTGTTAGGGTGCATGTGTCTGTCTTAGCACTGCAGCTCAGCAACAGCCTAGCTACCAGTGTTTGTATTTTAGTAAATAACTGAGTAAATGAATGTGAGAATTAATGATAGAATTTCAAAACAGCTTTAGAAAATGATATAAAGATATAAACCATGCTGCCTCAATCACAACACTGAAATACAGACTTTTAAATTTTCAATCAAATTCGTAGTCTCTCCTAGACTATTCTGCTATGAGTAATAAATTATTTCACTAAGGGTGCTAACTAAACTGTGTTTATTCAAGATAACCATGGTCTGTTTAAATAGTTTATGAATGATAAATACATCTCTATAAAATAGGTGTTATTTTATAGAGATGCTATATATAGTGATAATTCCATATGTTATAGAATTATATAGACACTGAGATACCAAATAACATATCTTTAACGCAGTGTTAGCTGATGAGAAATGTGACTCTTTGGTACTGAAATCAAGACAGGAAATGAGGGAAATATTTCTTCCTTAGCCCTTTTTCTTCATTTCTTTAGGAATTGTGTATGGAACTTGGTTCACTGCAATTTTCTCTAGTTTTATAATGGTAAATATGTGTATAATTTTTTTCAGTATGTAAATATTTTATATTGGCTTCACTATGTCAAAGGTTTACTTCTGAGCGTTCTCTATTTTACAAATGATTGAAGATGTCTTTTTTTATTGCTTGTCCTCAGAATGGCTTTACTCCTTTATACATGGCTGCCCAAGAGAATCACATCGATGTTGTAAAATATTTGCTGGAAAATGGAGCTAATCAGAGCACTGCTACAGAGGTAAGACTGTCAGCCCTAACATCTTGAATTCTTTTGTCTTACTGTCCATGTTCTTTATATCAGGCTGCAAATAATCTCCATTGCTTTGTCTAAAATATGTTAGGAATGTTCATGTTACTATTATAATCTCAACAGTGGCTGTGAACAAATGACTCAGGCTTGTGCACAGAGTTCCATCAGTTTATGCCTTCATTTTGGATTCATTTCTATTTATTGTTATATAAAATCAGGCTTCCATCAATTTCCATCCTCTGGTTTTTTGGGAGCTTTGTACTGTTCTAAAGTTTGATTGCAGTAAATTCGACTCATCTCTTTTCATCAATATTTTATCTTTGTTAGGATCCAATATAATTTCTTAAAGGAACAATTTTTTACCATCAGAAATAATTCATAAGTATCTGTGTTAAAACAGTTTTATGAAGAATGTTGCAAGAAAAACCACTGTACCTTATTGAAGCACAAAGTATGACACATGATTGTGTGTCTGATTATGACAACAACTGAACGGAATGTCTAAAATCAGTCTAGTTTTAAAAAGTTTCAGGACATCTGGACATAAGAAGTGGGAGTGGGCAGGGACCCAAAGAACATCAGTTTTCTTTCCTAAGCATGCCCACCTAATAAGTAGAAACTGCTTTGTATTTTCCTTCTCATTTTTGCCTAGGCAGATTAAGGAGCAAGTTCAATGACTATCTAGGGCAGTGTTTTCAAGTGATGCTCCAGAAGCCCTTGTGCTTGGGGTCACTGGAAGGTTGGGAGTGGGCGACATGGAAGAGGAGAAGAGAGCTCCTTGGAGACAAGCCTCTCCTCATCTCTTTCAACCAGAGGATACCAGGGTGGTTTTTTCTATTTCATATTTTGTGTCCTCACTGATAAAATTTCAAAACTCCTGACCTGAAGTGAAAGATGATTGGTGGATGCTTGTTACTCAGAAACTATCTTAAGATAATTTGTAATGTCTAATATGGCTTCCTTTCTGGAAAATTAAGTCTTTAGTACGTGAAATCCCTTATATGCTGTGTTAGAAGGAGAGGCCATTAAAATTTTATAAATGCTTTTCCAGTCCCTTTGGGAGAAAACTTTTTACGGAGCCAATTGCAACAACTTTCTGACAGCTTATTCTCATTAGTTTTTTTTTTTTAAAAAACCCAATAAATCACTATTAATGAGACCATGTTTCCTACTTATGACTGGAAAACACAACTACCCGGTATGAAATGTTTGTGAGCTCTCTATTTAATACACGCAGATCTTATACTCTTGCCACTTAGATATGATGTGATTTTTATGATTTGGGACATTTTTTTCCCCCTCAGACACTAGTTCTATCCATGAGTAACATGTGAATATCTTCAGGCAGAGCTCAGGTAACAATATGAGTCTGCATCTTTGCATCAGGGCCTCTGAAAAATATATCAAAATAAGGAAATCTATGTTTGTTTTATTTGGTTTTGATTTCTTTGAAAGCAGAATCATTTACCAGATGAAACCTTTTACTCTAGAGTGCTTTTATTTACCAAATAGACTTACTGTTTCCAGTGTAGGATTTAGGAAAACTTGGCTTGCTGGCATTCCCAGCTGTCTCATGGCTCCTGGCTCCTTTGCTCTAGACTACTTATTGTAGCATTTCCCATTTAGTTCCAAAAATACCCTTTTATGTACATTGCATTCGTAGAGGCCACATTACACTCTGTTGCCAGAAAGTTAAAATCTTCTCTGATTCCACAAAGAATGTGTCTTTTGCAAATAAATCATGTGAGGTTTTGAATTTTAACTTAGACACATTATATACCTATTATTTGTTTCATTTTAGAAAATTGTTTAGACAACTAAAGTTACTTTTCTCTGATTGAATATGTAAATTTGATTGAACTCTCATTGCTTGCACTAATGGTTATTAAAAAACACATATATGGACGAATCTTTACATATTCATTTTTAGTGTATCATTCTGTAAAAAAAAAAATAATGTATTTACAGGGTTGTATGGTTGATTGCCATTTGATGTCCTGTGTTATATTGCTAAATGCCTTCTACAGTCTTATGCGCAAATGTGTGACTATGCCTAAAGAAGGCACTTTCCCTGAACTGGTTGGTAGCTAATTTGCAAAAATTAATGACTAATCAAGACATTATGATCACTTTAAAACCAAGTGATTGTGAGATTATTCAATGTGGCAATGAAATTCATGATTGAGAAGAAATAATTAAAGTTTAAAAATTTTCCATAACTATAGCACTTAGCATTGGTAAATAAAATATGAAAAATGAAGCTACTGAACTTTAATATGGATTTCCTTTTAGTTGTGGTAATTGAACAAATCATTCCAAATGTTTAGCCTTATCCCATGAAGTATAGATTAAAATAAAATCTACATGGTGAAGATCCAATGTTAAATTCTCAGAAGGAAGTTCTCAGTCTCTCCAGTACCATTTTTACATAGCATTTCTCTACTCTCTTCCTTCTTCCTAAATGCTACCAAAATTACAGGCCTAAAACTTTTTAATGACATTCTGTTCTGTGAGCAAATGCCTCATCTCTAAGAAAAAAATTAATTTCACACTCTTTCAATATAAACTACCACAGTGCTGCAGGAGGTAATACATTTAAATATGTATGTGATAATGAGTCTGTGCTTTTCTCATTCACATTTAATTTGTGCCAAAGAAACTTCTAATTTCAGGTTACTATTTTTCATCTTAAGGTACTACATGCTTTACTCTTCCATTCTATTAAGTAATGTGTTTAAAATTCAGTTATTATTAAAAAAATTATTTCTGGTACTGCATACATGATACAATACACTTGAAATTTTTTTTCCTCGAAAACCTGCAGTTACTTAAAAATATTATTCTTGGAAAAAAATTGAGTAGTTTAATTATAGTAAATTACCATCATCTCCAGAATGCAGTCCCGGGTTCAAGTGATTCTTCTGCCTCAACTCCCCAAGTAGCTAGGATTACAGTCACAAGCTACCATGTCTAGCTTTTTTTTTTTTTTTTTTTTTTTTTTTTTTT